CACACACACACACACACACACACACACACACACACACACACACACACGGATATGGATAAATTACAAAAAGAATCAATTAAAATTGCTCAACATCACTGGGGCGGCTGGATGGCTCAGTCGGTTGAGCGTCCAACTTCAGCTCAGGTCATAATCTCACCGTTTGTTGAGTTGGAACCTGACGATGGCTCTCTGCTGTCAGCACAGAGCCCACTTCAGATCCTCTGTCTCCCTCTCTCTTTGCCCCTCCCCTGCCTTGCACACACTCTCTCTCTCAAAAATAAACATTAAAAAAAATTGCTCAGCATCATCATGTACATGAATGACTTTAAAAATAAGAATGAATTTCAAACCAAACATGATACTATGTATCAGTCTCTGTTCTGGGTACAATATTATCTAAAAACCAACTTGATTTTGTTTTTTAATTTTTTTTAATGTTTATTTATTTTTGACAGAGAGAGAGAGATAGAGCATGAGCAGGGGAGGGACAGAGAGAGAGGGAGACACAGAATCCAAAGCAGGCTCCAGGCTCTGAGCTGTCAGCACAGAGCCCAACGCAGGGCTTGAACTCATAGACTGTGAGATCATGACCTAAGCCGAAGTCGGACGCTCAACTGACTGAGCCACTCAGGGCCCCCCAACTTGATTTTTTTTTATAGGTAACCTGTGTTTGTGCCGGCTTCCTGCAAGACTTGTCTTTATTGCAATTCAAAGATTTAGAAAATATTCACTGAACATTTTTTTATAATAGCAAAATATCAGAAATGATATAACTATCTATTCGAATAATACAGCTATAAGGAAAAATGAGGGGGGCACCTGGGTGGCTCAGTCAGTTAAGCATCCAACTCTTGATTTCAGTTCAGGTCATGATCTCAGGGTCCTGAGTCAAGCCCGCACATCGTCTGGCTCTCTATTGGGCTCTCTGCTGGGTGTGGAGTCTGCTTAAGATTCTCTTTCTCTCTCTCTCCCCCTCCTCCCCATACCTGCTGGCTCTCTCTCTCTCTCTCTCTCTCTCAGAAAGAAAGAGAAAGAGAAAGAAAAGAAAAGAAAAGAAAAGAAAAGAAAAGAAAAGAAAAGAAAAAAGAAAAGAAAAAAGAAAGAATAAGGAAGATCTCCATGGGCTAATAATGAGTTCTAGGGGAAAAAAGCAAGGTGAGGAATATATATAGTATGCTATGCCTTCCATAAGAAAGGACTTTTATGAGAAAGGAGAGCTAAGAATGGGGAGAAATAAATATGTAAATATGAATATATACACAAAATGTTTTTTTACTTATCTATTTTTCCAAAGGGAAACAAGAGAAGAATAAACCAGGAAATTAGCACGCAAGGAATCCAAATGGTTCTTGGTCCCTATACTCAATGCTAACAACTAGGGGACAAAGTGACACTGCTCTAAATTTAACTCCTGGTTTCTTAAACACATTTACTCACTGCAGCCTTGGTCTAGCCGCATCCCAGCTTCCCCTTCCCATTGATTCTCTGAACTCATGGAATACCTGAGAAATGGTATGTCCTGTAGACAGGACTCCCTTCCCTGCCTGGCCTATAGTACTCTAGTGTGGACCACACCTCTTGTACTGTAATGCCATCAATATTCTGCCTGTCCAACAGGGACCCAATATCCTTACACAGAGAAAAATCAGGGAGTTAGAAGGGAGTAAGAGGACAAATACCATTCTAGTCCCTAAAACAGCATCAAGTGATGCTCTGCAGGGAGGTCTCCTGAGTTCCTAGCTGGCAGAGGCTTTGGGTCGCTGAGCCAGGTAAGCGACAATGGGAGGTAGATAAATGCCTTTTCCCAGCCATTCCTGATTCCACAAGATGAGGTCAGTGTACATTTATCTCAGATCTGTCCTAAAGATTAAGACACACAGCTTCCTGAGTTCCTAGATGCTACTGCTGCCACTTTTTGCTTCTTCACAGGTATCTCAGTAGGAAATCTGAGGAAGCTGCACTGAGGGCAGACACCATGTTAAACTGCAAGCCTCTTGGTTCTCTGTGCTCTTGATTAATGTTGTCATTAACAGCCCAGTTTTCTAAACTAGAAATCTGTAACTTATCAGGGCTTCCTTCGTTCACCTTTTATCCAATGAATACATCAAATTCGACTTCAGAAATACTCTTCATATCTGATCTTTATTCGATCTATTCCAATTCCTTGGTCCGGGAACTCAAAATGTCTTCTTAGAAAAATGCATTTAAAAACTTTCAATTTGGAGACAGATGGGTAAATAGGTATTATTATACAAACTTTCTCTATTTCTGCATATGTATGAAAATTTTCATTTAAAAAGTTTAAAATAGTAAGCCTTCAATGATGAGACTGACAGCATTTTACTGAGAATGATACAGTCTCGGACTAGCCTATTTCCAGGCTTGCTTTTCCTCTGATTTTGAAGGGAAGTACTTCAGCAACTTAGCTTCCTTTTATATTTTTAGACATTAACGTAAGTGATGCAGCAAATATTACAGTTTTAAAGTCTTAAGGTACAGAAGTATGATTTAAACAAAAGTAGTTATTCCCAGTAAAATTATCGATGTTTCAATTTGTGGAAAAGTATTATGCTTTTATTTTTCAAAACTGGTTTTGAATTTTTTCCCTTTTCTTTTGAACTTCAGACTTACCTCCCTTGGCCTTTTCCCTGTTTCCACCCAACCTCTCTACTTCTTCCTGGTCTTGATCCCAGATCATTTTTCTCATCTTCTATATAAAGAATCCATTTTTAAGTGTCTATGTGATTGTTGCCCCTTGTATTTATACACATCAGGGAGCTTGTTTCAGTGCACAAGTGACCTGGGAGAAGCCCAGAGTCTGTGTGATCCCCTCTGAAGCCTCAAGAACTACACTGAGTGTCATGGATGCTCAAGACCTACTGAAAATGAAGACTGAAAGAGTAGTACAATCCCTTGTTCACGGGAATTTGTTTTGCCACAGTTCTCCAGCAGATGTCACTGGTTAGCAACATGAAACTGTACAAAGTGACCAGAGACTATCCAGCACAATTTCTTCTTCCAAATTTTAACTGATGCTTCCTTCATCCAGAATGTGAATCATTTTTTAAAATATTTTACTTTTGGGGCGCCTGGGTGGCGCAGTCGGTTAAGCGTCCGACTTCAGCCAGTCACGATCTCGCGGTCCGTGAGTTCGAGCCCCGCGTCAGGCTCGCATCAGGCTCTGGGCTGATGGCTCAGAGCCTGGAGCCTGTTTCTGATTCTGTGTCTCCCTCTCTCTCTGCCCCTCCCCCGTTCATGCTCTGTCTCTCTCTGTCCCAAAAATAAATAAACGTTGAAAAAAAAATATTTTACTTTTAAGTAATCTCTAGACCCAATGTGGGGCTTGGACTTATGACCCTGAGATGAAAAAGTCACACACTCCACTGACTGAGCTAGCCAGGTGCCTCCAGAAAGGTGAATCATTAAATGTGCTGGTGAAAGAAAACCCTTTCATTTCTACAAAGAAATGAGCCGGATCCTGGTCACAGCCTGAGACCCTATGCTGTCCTGTGAGCTCCCATGAAGAATTAACTCAGCCTGTGCGTATTAGTCAGCTTGGGCTGCCATTACAAAATACCAGTCTGAGTGGCTTAAAGAACAGAAATCTATTTCCTCACAGTTATGAAGGATGGAAGTTCAAGATCAAGGTATTGGCACATTGTTTTTCTCCTGGGGCCTCTTCACTTGGCTTGTGGATGGCTGCCTTCTTGCTGAGTCCTCACATGGTCCTTTGTCTCTATGGTGCACTCATGGTGTCTTTTCCTCTCTCTCTCTCTCTCTCTCTCTCTCTCTCTCTCTCTTTTTTTTAAGTAGGCTCCATGCCCAACTAAGGGCTCCAACTCAGACCCTGAGATCAAGACATGAGCTGAGATCAAGAGTCAGATGCTTAACCAAAAATAGCCACCCTACTTCCTCTTCTTATAAGGAAATCAGTCCTACTGGATTAGGACTCCACCCTTAACACCTTACTTAACCTTAACTGCCTCTTTTTTTTCAAAGGCCCTATTTCCACATACAGTCATACTGGGGGGTTAGGCTTCAACATAAGAATTTGAGGGGGACACAATTCAGTACTTAACACTGGATTTGTAAGTTATCTTAAGTAATGTTTGGTGATATTTCAGCTGAAGATAGCT